TCAGAGCCAACTCCCAACCCTCCTGCAGCTACATCCAGGTAGGGGACTCCACAAAAGTGAAGTGTGGCCTTCCTGACAAGAACAGGCATCTCTTGCCTTGAGCTCCATCAAGATTTAACTATTTAACAGATTCAAGTCCAGAAATGGCACAAAAGGAGGAAGAAGCTTGTTCTAGCTGAAATGGCCAGAAGGCTCCAGGCACAAAAGGCAGAGCTGTCTGAAAAATTATAAATAACATCTTTTGCCTCCTCCCTTCTAGTGTTTCTTCGCGGTCAACTCTGCCACCATTATGCAGGCCATAAGAAAAAGAAGTTTTCCTGATGCCTGCCCCCCGGGTCACGCCTCCAGCGAGCTGGACCAGACACAGGCATGGCAGTGAGGAGGAATGGGACACTTCACCCCTACACAGGCTTGCTTGTCTCCTCCAGGGACTCTGGGACAGTCCCAGGTCCCTGTCTGGGCTGCCCACAAGGCCCAGCCTTTCTTTCCTCTGCTGTTCCCACAGACGCACCAGCGGCAGGAGACAGCCTTCCCAGCATCCGGTCCCAGAACAATCTCAGCGAATGCAGCTCTACCCACCCCTGTGTGGGCACAGGTCAACTCCAGCTGGGTTGGCAGTGCTCCTCACCTGCGACACAGGAAAGGTCGTGGGTCTGGGGAGGTGAGCCCTACCCCCAAGATCTTGGCCTCCCCTGCACTTGCCTTGACACAGGGAGAAACCAAAGCCACATCCAGGAAGCACCAACAGCCACCAGAAGTGTAATGGACACACACGGACACACACATGTACACACAGGTGAGAGCTGTCATACTTGTGAGAAACGGCTCTGATATTGGAAGGTGACCCTTTCCAGGAAGAGTCACATCCGCTTTGCCTTTGAACTATGTTAGTGGATGTTGGGACCAAGTAGAACCCTAGAACCATGGGACCCAGGGGCGGGGGGGGAGGGGCGGGGGGGAGGTAGGAGCTCCGGGCAGGGAGGCAGCTGCCCAGATTGTCCCAGACCTCTCAGGAGACACCTTGCAGTGACATTGCATCAGGCAGACAGCATGTGACAGCCTGGGGTAGTTCACTCCTGGGTGTGCAGAAGTCCACAGACACCCCAGTGCTGCTCAGATACACCTCAGAGAGACCTAGTCCCTCCCATCTCACTCCCAACGTCTTCTAACTGCTGGACTCACTCGCCAGCTGCCTCTCCCTCCTTCCCAGTCCAGTCACCTGAGGGGACAACGCAAGCCCTTCACAGCCTCCGACATATGGCTGCTTTCCAGACCCTCGGCGCTCCCAGCCCACCTGGCATCTGCTGGAGGCTCCTGGCCCAGGCCCACTGAGGGGGCCCTGCTTTCCGGGCCTGGGGAGGCTTCTGCTCCCCACAAACCTGCTCTCAGGAGACCGCCAAGGCCCTAATGATGTGTGTGTCCCAGACACAGATGCTGTGCTTTCTCTGCTTCTCATTGGACTTTCTGGACACCAGATTCAAGCGAGGCAAGAGTCTGCCTTTTTCTGTGCACAAGCTCCTCTTGGAAAGAATTCAATTTTTCTCTCTGCTTTAAGAAAGAAAATCAGTCTACAATCCCGGGTTATTTTCTGCTATGAGTTTGAATAAAATTACAAACAGGATAAATGACTTGTAGGATTTGAGTTACACTCTGATTACATCCACAGGGTGGTCCATACTCCCCTCAGCACTGACAGCAAGATCCCCACTCCTGCTGACACTTCCCGGAGACTGTCGGGGGGCCAGACACTGCGCTGGGTTTGCTGGATTTGACTCGACATCACACAATCCACAGCTCTCCTTTTTCCCATGCCACTTTGATAGTAAAATGCCAGGACACCAGGGCAAAGGGCAGTGTGTACATAAAGGACGGGCAGAGCTCAAGCTAAGACAACAGAGCGTGCCACCCTCTTGGGAGGACCCAACGCTGCTGCTCGGAAAGCCAGAATCCAACCAGGGAATCATGTGGGCATCGCTGCACACAGCTGTCTGCCAGTGGAAATGTCTCCCTTCATACTGAAGTCTGGCTTCCAGCAGCAGTGACTAGACTGTCCTGGTGTTTGGCAGACCCAGCACCAACCCCCTCGGGCCCCTGCTGACCTGCCCCGTACTCCCCAAGCAGGGATGCCCACCCTGTTCTCCAGCACGAAGGAGTGGTTCAAATGGTCTCAACTAGAATACACAAGTCTTTCCCCCACAAAATGGAAAACTCGATGTTCTTTAGGAAGAAGGTTCTGGTAGTCCCAGACCCAGATGGACCCAAATTGGGGTGGCGGTGGGGGGCTGCCTTCACTCACAGTCATTATACACTTTATCCCTGCTTACCAGTCGGCAGCTCTCCCATGGCTGGGGACTGGGGACTGGGGCTCCCAGTTGAGTGATTCAGCCCGCGCCCCACTGCCCAGAAGACAGTACAGGGCACTACCAAGCAAGCTGGCAGAATTCTTCTCCAAATCCTAGCCACGCTGGTCGAACCACATCATAGCAGCAAAAACCCGTCTGTCTCTGCACGCGGTGGCCCTTTTGCTCTACTTTTACAAGGTGTGACACATCTTCTCTGTTTGCCTACTTTGAACTCAAAAATGCCCGAGGCCTCGGGCAGAGCTATAGCGGGCACAGGTGGTCTCTGGTGGCTCCACACAGTTCCGGAGCAATTCCAGAAGGCATTCCTTCCATTCAGTAAACAAGAACATCCTGAGGCCATCTGAGACTCCGGAGGGAACTGTCGCTGCCCAAGGACACAAGAGGCAGCCTGGACCTCAAGACGTAGGAAGATGCCTACTTCCTACATCACTTACAACATATCTCGGTGGAAGGAGGTCATTAGGAAGAAACAAAGAAAATGGACATTTTTTTCTTGCCGCAAAGAGCTCAGGCTAAATCAAAACATGTCTTCCCCAAAACTTGTTTTTCCTAGTCACTAAAAAAGAATCAAAATGTTTCCTTTTGTTCAAGATATTAAATAACCTAGAATTTCTTCAAAATAATAGCTATTTCTTATTAACTCCCTTCCTAAAACGTCAAATACTACAAACTTTAATATTTTAGTGTCATTTTTTATTCTTCATTATGACAGAGCAATCACCATGCAATTATTAAAATCAATTTAGAAAAGTGAAGCTTTGCTGGCAAAAATCCGTAAACGGAATGAGACCGTGCATATACCAAAGCTGCCACTTTGGGAAGTTTGTTTTAACCTAAGGAGACTTGCATTTTCTCATTATTGATAGCTACTCACGTAGCCACAGCATATAAATTCACATTATAAATGTATTTTTCCTTTGAGGGAATTTTACAAAATAAAAGGGTCTCAGGCGGGGCCCTTAAGTAAATTAGTTGTGTCTAAATCTTTAGTATCTCTCTCTCTCTCTCTCTTACATGTTTAATCACCGAGAATTAAAATTTGAATAAATCACCTATGGACCTTACCATCTGAGACCAGAAGGACGGAACGCATGCCTTTCCTGGGGAACCTTAAGGAAAAACCCCAACAAAGCCTTAAATAGGAGAACCAGCAGGGCTGCAGAGTTTTTCAAAGAAGCCCTCAGAGCCCCAGACAGGTGGAATCCAAATTGTTTCTCCTCTCTCCCTCAACCATTTACACAAAGCCACAAACGACTACCAGGCAGAAATGAACCAAATAAAACAATGGGGACTGGGGGACAGACTTCCACCTCTGCTGGGCCACACCAAGGCCCCTCGCTGCCCTTCCCAAGGGGCCACAGCAGCCAAACCAAAAATTCCCCTCCGCACTGCAGGGAAGGGGGGCCTTCCTCCCACTCTGCACCACTGGGTTGTGGGGAGCTGAAATCTCACAAAAGCACTTTTGTGTAGCTTCACTTCCCGTTACTATCACACTGCCAAAAACTACAGCAACAACACTGTGATGGCGTGTAAAAGCCGACACAGACTTGATAGCTAAGCGCAAGCACATGTTGGCCCATTCTGAGTACACCATTTGGAGACGGCTGTGCCTACCTGGCAGACAAGCCTGAGCCTTCAGCAGAAGCCGGCCCCAGGACGCCTCCCTGCCTCTAGCTCCTTAGCAAACCCTCCTGGCAGGTCTCTAGTAATCGGGAGAGCTGCCACCTTTCCCTGTTCCCAGTCGCTGCACCAAGCCTCCTCCTTAGCACCCCCAAGGCTCGCTACCTCCATGAACTGCCCATAGGAGCTTCAGAACCTGGCACATGCCACCCCACCCCCAATTCCATATCAGATCAGGCTGGCAGTTTAAAAACTCTCCTCCATTTCACTTCTCCCAAAAAGATAATATTTTTTTCCACATTCTAGATCATTCTTAATTGGAATTGACTTTTTTTAAAGGGCAGTGTTGGCCTTTGCGTAGAAGTGGGTAGTTCCTCACGATGCATTCTTTCAGACAAATGTTCCCTTTCAAAACTGACAGGGCATGTTAGATTTTTTTTTTTTAAGTTAAAGAAAAAAGATGCCTTTTGCAGCGGTTCCTTCCCAGAGTAAATGGCCTCCGTGCAACGCAAACCTTCAGAAAGGACATTCTTACAGCTGTTCAATTGGTCCCAGGGTGCAAACCAGACACTCAGCACCCGCGGGTGCTCCCCCACACTCGGCCACAAACAGAAAGGGGTCAGATAAAGCGCACTCCAGTATCCCATTAGTTCACCCATTCTGGAGCCCCTAATTCCCTAATCCGTTTCTCCCCGATTTAGTGCCTCTGTAACATTAACACAAACACCGTCCTCTCTCCAAAAGGGTGATGTGTTTGCAGAGTACACATTCGGGAGCGTCAGATCATCTCTTCCCAGGGCTGGCGGACGCTGCCCACGGTGAAGGTGTGCACGAGTGACCGAGTGTGCGGATGCGAGTGTTGTGTGAGTGTGAACGTGCGCTCTCCCTCCATGCATGCGCGGGGCCGGAGTTGGACGCGCACCTACGCTCTGCGACAGGCCCCGGCCGCAGCTGCTTTTCAGCAGGGGGTCCTCGGTGGCGCGGCCGCCCCCTCCCTGGCCGGGCCGGGCCCGCACGCTACCTGCAGCCGCACGCCTCCACCACCATGTCCTCGTACTGCTTGTAGACCACGTTGTTGGCGGCGTCGATGTAGAGGATGCTGATGGGGCTGAGGCGCGCGGGCACGCAGCAGGAGGCCGGCGCCGCGTCGGGCGCCATAGAGTTGAGCAGCGTCTGAATGATGGCGTGGTTGGTGGGCTCTAGGTGAGAGCGCAGCGGGAAGTCGCAAACGCCCTCGCAGTGGTACGCCTCGTAGTCCAGCGGCGCGATGATCCAGTCGTCCCAGCCCAGCTCCTTAAAGTCCACGTGCAGCGGCCTGCGGCTACAGCGGCTCCGGCCCCTTCGCCCATGGCCCCGGCCCGCGCCCCCGCCGCTGCCCTGCGCCGCCCGCGCCCCGGCCAGCGCCGTCCGCCGCCTCCTGCGACCGCCGATGACCGCTGTCGGCGACCGGGTGCCGGGTCCCGGGTCGGGCGGCGGCTCTGCCGCGAGCGCGGCCCCGAGCGCGCGCGCCTGAGCACGGATCTCCCGGAACAGGCTCCCTTTCCTCTGCGTGCGGGAGGAAACCACGAGCAGGGCGCGCTCTTCTGTCGCCGCGCCGCCGCTGCCCCAGGAGCCAAAGCCCAGCAACCGCAGTGCCAGCGGGCCCTGCGAGGGGCCGGCCACGGAGCGCAGCAAGAGGCAGAGCGCGCGGGCGGCGCGCGGCTCCTGGCGGTGGCGCCGCACAGCGTCCGCCACGTCGAACACCTCCCAGCGCGCCGCGGCCAGGGGCTCCGCGGCCCGCGAGTGCAGCAGGCGCGGCGCTCGGGCGGCGCCGGGGCACGTGGACAGCAGGAGGAGCGGCGGGGGGGTCGCGCCGCCGGGGCCCAGCTCCGGGGACGCGCGGCGCAGAACGCGCAGCTCGGCTCCCACCACCTCGTCGGCGTCGGGAAGGCTGGACACGTCGAACAGGAAGCTCTGGCCGGTCTCGGCTGCGGATTCGTCTGCAGAAGTCGAGCAGAGACAGAAAGAGCGCGGTGAGAGCGGAGAGCGAAGCCCGCGCTCCTGGCCGCGGGGCCTCTTAACCGCGTGCAGCCCAACTGCCCCGGAGGCGGGAGCGAGCCGGCTGGAGCTGGCGCGCGCCTCTCGTCTCGGCCCAGCCGTACACCTGCCAGCCTGGCCCAGGTGAAGGGGGCCGTCGCCCTATCGGCTATAGGGACCGGGGCTTCGGCTCATCGAGCCAAAGTTCCGCCACCTCGACAACCCACGGGCCCTGACTTACCGCTGAGCCTCGGGGCCAGGACCATACACCTGCACCCGATGCCTCGGCAGGTCCGCGGACTGACCCAGAGCCCTGGGTGTGTGCGGGGCCTACGTAGCGGAAGCCAGACGTTCGGGCCCGAGGCGGCCAGAAGGCTCCGCGGGGCGTGTCGGAGGCCTTGCGCCCTTTCCGAGGTCTGGAGGCCAGACAGAGGTCCCGCGCTCTACCGGGACTGCTCAGTATTGCCCCGCTGAGCCCCGGCTGTGCGACAACGGAAAAATCTTGTCCCTGAAAACTCTGCTTCTTCCTCTACCTCTCTTCCCCAGCTCAGCCTGGACATCCTCGCTGACCACGATCTGCCCTGCTGGCCCGGCCCTCCGTGCAAGTCGTCCGGAGGAAAACCCATCAGCGGGGCTGAACAAACCCTCTGGTGCGTCCAGCCTCCCGGCCGTGCTGAAGGGGAACTAGGCCCGTTTCGGGAGGGCCCCGGCTCGGCCCAAGGTCTCAGAGCGTGGAGCGCAGCTGGTTGCATTGGGAAACTCCCGGCTAAGCTGCTCCCAGCTTTCTGCGAACTCCGATGGAGGAGGGAAGGCAGTAAAGGAGCGCAAGGAACCTTCTCCAAAGGGTTTGGAGCAATGGGGGGGGAGGGGGGGGGCTGCCTTTCTCGCTGCAGTGAAGGCAGTGGTTCAAAGAACTCTCGCCTCCAGGACCCACCGATCCCTCCGCAAACGTATTCTTTCCCTCCGTTATGACTTCTCTCTCAGGGTTTGGGGGGTTTTATTTCTGGTCGTGGACACTTTTTTTTTTTTTTTCCTTTTTGGGCTCAGGGGGGAAAAAGTTGAAATTCCACCGAGCAGCAGATAAGGAGTTCCCTTTGAAGAGGTCATATGGTTTCGTTTTGCCCCAAACTCGGTGAGACTGTGCAGACGGCCCCCACCTCTGGAGATCTGCTCCCGGACCACCACCGCCAGGCCCTCACCTCCCTAGGTCCCAAGTCTGGGCTCTGCCGGTGGCTTCTGGGGACCTCAAGTAGCCCTGCTCCAAGTTGAACCGCACGGTGGAGAGCCAGGGAGGCTCGAACCGCTAGGCTAGCGGCGCTTCCTCCTCCCTACCACTGCTTTCTCCCCGGGCTCCCTGTGGCACTTTTTCTGAGCTTCTCCCCCACTCCCACCCCAGCGTCTCCCCACTTGAATGGGCTACCGCTGCACCCCCTCCTTACAGAGGCAGGAAGGAGAGCTGCCTTGAGAGCCTGGCCAGCCAAGCGAAGCTCCCCAGGAAAAGATTTCGCTCAGGCGGAGGCCAATGGGAGGCCTAGCCCCAACTAAGAGAGAGCAGCTGGTGCATCTGCCGGCTTAGAGCCCTGCACACCCACCTCTCCTGCATCCTGAGAGCCCACACAGCAGGCTTAGGTCTGGAACCTTCCCTGGCCCTGGACACCTCTGTAGGAGTCCTCCAGCATCCAGTCCAGGGAGGCACACAGAATGCTAGATACTTGCCACTGACCCAGAGAGCCGTCTGGGCCCAGGAAGTCCCACACTCAAAATAAAGCAGTCTGTGGGTAGACGTGTGTGTGTTGCAGGGGGTGGACGCCTTGGTCATATCTACCTGCGTTCCCAGGCTAGGGTCTGGGATGTACAGCCAGCAGACACTCCCGGGCTCGGCAGACCGCTTCCTTTCCAGCCCTTCTCTCCCACCCGCCTTTCTTCCCCTCCTGCCTTCCACGCTGGATCTTTGGCTGGATAGAATTAAGGCCAACATTACTTGCATTTCCGCCTGAAATTAGTTAAATTTTCCCTATCTGTCTGCTTTAATGACTTCAATAGAGATTAATAAAATCCAGATGACACACAGCCACCACCACAATCTCACCCACGTCCTACTTTTGAGGGACCCGGGGCAGAGTAAGGTGGGCTGCTGGGTGCCCAGAGAGGCCTGCATTCCTGCACGATTTCAGTGACCACCCTCACCTCCTCGTAGGACTGGGGTCCCCACCTCTAGCTGTCCCAGGGGCCAGCACCGGGCGCAGGCACTCAGCCACACAGCTCCACCCTGACACAGCACGCCGAGAAGGGACCGCCGTGTACCTGCTGATGCCACCAGCCTGTCCGGGCCGCTGATTTCAGTCTAATGCCTGCCTCTTCCCCTCATTCCCCTGAATTCCCCCCAATTTGTGTGCCCCCCCCCCCAAGAGACTACAGCTGCACTGGAACAGCCGCTGCGGCCACCACCGTCACTGCGCAGTTCCTCTCGGCCCGGGCCCCGTCTTGCTTCGGATCTTGGACTCAGCCTGCCTCCTCGAGGGGACCCGCCGGCCAGCAGGGCCAGGACAAACCGGCGGGGGGACCGGGCCCCGGGAGTTGCCGCGCCTCTCGCCACAGTCCAGCGGGTTCGGGTGCGTGGGCCTCGGCGGGGTTTCTAACACCTGAGGCCGGGACGTGAGGAGGCCGCGCCCCGAGGGTCTGGGGCGGGGGCTCGGCGCTGGCGGTGGCCTCAGCCTAGGAGCCGACTGGATGGACGGGCGCAGAAGAGGCGTGAGTACCTTGGTTCGCCTGGTCTGCGAAGCCGGTGATCGTGTCCGCGCGGCCGTGGCGGCCAGAGCCCGAGGTGGAGGCGGCGGCTGCCCCGGCCGGAGCCCTCCCGGCCAGGTTCCGGTAAAGCGACATCATGAACTGGTGCGGCACCACCGAGCCGTTCCTGAAGCCGGAGCCGGAGGCGCGGCGCGCGGCGCGGACTCCGGGAGCCGCGGCGGCCGGGGCAGCGGAGCCGCCCGCAGCTGGGGCGAGGGTCCGCCCGCCGCTGCCGCCCTCGCCCCCCGGTCTCCCGACCGGCCCTGCCCCCGCCGCTCGCAGCACGGCGGCCGCTTCGAGCCCGTCGCGGGGGCGGCAGGCGCTCAGCAGCCAGAGGCACAGCGCGGCGGCCGCGCTCAGGTCCATGGGCTCCGTGGGCCGGGCGGGCGGGCGGCGCGGGCTCCGTGGCTCCGGGAAGTCCCCCGGCGCCTTTTGAACATAGTGTTTAATAATGGGGGAAGTGTGCGCAGCAAGTCGCGGCCCCCCCCTCCTCTCCCACCCCACCCCCGCCTAACTCCCGGAGCAGCGCCCCCTGCTGAACGCTGGAGTGGCAGCGCCGCGCCCCCCACTCCGGCCTAACGCGGAGTCCAGGACAGGAGCCTCCTCCCGGCGCCGTAGCGCTTCGCCCCCACTCTCGCCTGGCGAGTGCTACCCGCCCGAGGCTCCCGCCACAAACCGGGGCCCCGCCTCCCTTCCCCAAGAAGGTGCGACCCCCCCGCCGCCCACGCCGCCCCCGAGCCCAATGAGCCCTCGGGAGTTAGAGGCTCCGAGGCGCCGCGCGTACCCGCCCAGCTTCGTCCCCGCTGCCCTGCGGGGGAGCACCCTCCCCCGCCCGCCGCAATTCCTAGAGTGCCGGAGACGCTAGAGGTGGGGCCGCCGACCGGCTCATCCCCGCGGGGCAGTGCCGCGACCTCGGGGCCAGGGCGCACGGAGAGGCCACCAGGGCGCGCGGGCAGGGCTGCCACAAAGGTGCGTTTTCCAGCACCGGTTCCAAGGTTGCCCAGCCTGACACAGCCTCCAAAGATCGGAGCGCGCTGCCGGAGCAGGGGAGGGGACCCCTAGGGAAAAGAGGGTTAGCAGCTGGAAGAGCAGGCCGGAAGACAGACGGACGTGGACCGACACTTGGAAAGCAACGGTTTGCGCTCAGAACGTGCGCTTAAGCCGGAGCCAAGACCTCGAAGGAGCGCAGGAATTACGGAGGCAGCCCCGGGGGTGATGTGGGGAGTCCTGCGCAGGAGCAGCGCCCCGAGTTCATTTGTGCAACGAAAGTGATGACCTTCCGCCGGCCTTCTTGGGGGGCCGGCCAACGGAAACGGCTACCGGGTATGTTGGGGCGCGGCCAGAAGCCGGGAGGGCGGGGAGCAGAGAGCCCCAGGCTGGCGCCTCTGTACTTCTCTGGCAGCGGTTGTGGGTGATGGGTGGAGGGGACGGCCGGAGGCCAGGGCGCGGCACCCTGAGCTCACTCGGGCGGGGTCAGGAGCTCGTCGATGGCTGTTGATCAGCTCAGCTCCACCGGCAGCCCCGACGTGCCCCAGTGCGGACACGTCCCGCGGATGGACGAGGTCTTCTGGGAAGGCAGATGGAGAACCTGAGCCGGACGGACCCTCAAAGCAGAGCAGATGCGTGCTTTCTCCTCTAAATTTTCATTTGCTACCAAACTTGAAATCTAGACGGGGTCGGTGCGTCATGGTCACTTTGAGTTGATCGGCGTCAACACGACCCCACGGGACCCAAAGCCAAGTGAGTCCCAAGTCTCTCCCGGTTGCGCATCACTGACCCAGGGTCGAGGCCCGGCCCGGGGAGTTCCCCTGCGCAAGCTGTTTGGTCCCAAGCGAGCTCCTCAGTGATCATGCTGGCCACCGCGGAGATGCGGCGCCTCCTCATCCCGGCACTTTGGTCCACTCATCACCCCCGGAGGTCTGGCGAAGGGCCACTGCTCCCTGACCCCAGGCCCACCAGGTGGATGGAGGAGGAAGGCCAGAGATTAGTGTGGTAAGGTGTGGTTGAGATGGGCAGGGATCTGGACGGGTTGCATTAATCCACCCTGCTTTGGGGACTGTGGATGGAGTGCCAGCAACAAACAAGGCCTTGGCCACAGGTCTCCCTCTCTGGGCGGTGTTGGTACAAGGTGGCTCTGCAGAAACCCAGGCAGGCTGTCTGGCAGGGTCTTCCCCTGGAGACACTGGGGAGGCTCTTTCAGCCCAGCCAGGGGCCGCTAGGTCCTTGCCAGTGCTGGGCCCTGCTGTCTTTCTAGCTCCTTTCCCCCTACATGTGAGCAATCTTTGATTATGACTTGTACAAATACCTTGGGAACCCTGGGCCGGGGTCAGTAGTGCAAGTTCTAGCCCTGGCCTTGACCTCTTAGGAGCAAGGAGAGAATGGGAAGGTGCTGGCACAGACTTGGCAGAGCCCGTGCTGAATGAACACGTGTTGATTATAGGATTCTTCTGCCCTGCAGCTGCCTTTGGGCATCAGAATCAGTATTCCTGAATTCTTGATGTCTCCGTGGAAGCAGGCCACTTAGCTGCTTTAAGGCCACATTTCCTCATCTGTAAAATGGAAGGATTCTGACCGCCAGGAGTGTGTGTGTGGCCAGGATAAAAGGCTGACACAGATGAGGCTCGGAAGCCTTGCCCCCCACCCCACGCTGCCCGGGGTCTGCTCTGGGGCCCAAGGGTGATGATGGCTCACAGAGAATCAGCTCATAGGCACTGGAACGCCCTGGGAAAAGACTGCCCACCAGCTGTTTGTGCTTGAGCCAGGACTTAACCACTCTTACCTGCATTTCTTGTCTGTGAAGTGAGCTAATCATTCATTCATTCATCATTTATCCATCCCCCAATTCATTCCTTCTTCCCAGTAAATACTTAACTGCCAGTTGCCTTCTATGTGTTGTGGATTCAGCAATGCACAGGACAGACACATGGAAAGCTGGCGGCGGGGGAGCTTTTGGGTCAGCGAGGGACACTCTAGAGCTGAGCCCAGAGAGGAGGCAGGCACTGGGACGCTTGAGCCACATCTGGATGTCTGGCTCAGTCCCCTTCCCCTGAAATAGTGACAGTAACCATTTGTTCTCTGAATACTGGGCATCATGCCAACTGCTTAACACACCTCCTGTTACTTCATTCCCACCACCTATACCCTGTGAGGTAGGTATTATTGTTCCCATTTTATAGACAAAGAAAGTTGAGTTACAAAGAAATTCCACACCGTGCACACGCACTCACCTGGTGAGTGACAGAGCCTGGAGTCACCAGCTATTTTTGCCCAACCCTTGGCTGGAAAATTCTTGGCAGAGAATGAACTCTCAGATCAGGTTTAGGTGAAAACCATGAAAGCACCCCCCTGGGGACTCCTTCCTGCCCCTGCTGCCAGGCTGGAGCTCACGACATCTGCTATTGGGCATGTTCTGTCAGCAGCAGCAGGGCCAGAAGCCCCGGGGCTCAGAGCAGGACCGGCTACCAGGAACATGTGGTCCAACGGCTAAGTTTCCATGATGTGACCCGAAGGCTTCCCGAGTCAGGCCCATATCCAGGGCCTGACTTGATCCACGTCTCTGGATGCCCTGGACCCATAAATTGGTATCCGTCTGGAGTGAAGATGGTGCCCCCCCTGAGGATGGAGAAATGTGAGGCCAGGAGTTCCTGGTCCTCCATTCCTGGCTCCACAAAGCTGAGGCCTCTGGGGAGCAGGTGGCCTTTGCTGGGCCTGCGATGCCAGGTGGGCCCAGGCTTGCCTGGGGCTTCCTCCTGGGGCATGCAGGGGGCCTTTGGTAGGTGTGCCAGGCGAGAGGCCTGGAAGTTGTGTTCTTCATGCTGCTTTTGAAGGGAGTTCCTCTGTCATCTGTGTTCACCCCAGACGTCACTGGGAAGCTGCTGACAAGACCCTGACACCAGTGCAGGAAGTTCAGAGAGGGCTGGCAGAAAACCTTTTCACTGTCCATCAGTCTGATGACCACCCTCCAAGCCCCCAGCACTCCAGACTCCAGCAGTTACCACCTCAGAGAGAGGGGCTGAGACTGGCTCCAAGGGAGTGGTGGGGAGATAGGGTAAAAGCAGCCTGGTGGTGGTTTATTGACTCGGGTGGAGAGGAATGGTCCCCACATTCAGACCTCCAGACCCTTCCCTTGGAGAACACTTTGCTGCTCATCCATTCTCTGCAGAAGCTGTCTGCTCACTCAGAGCACCAGGATTCTGACCAGGTCATAGAATCCCAGGATCTAAAGGAACATTTGGGCCAGTTTTGCACAGCATGCCTGAAGTGTGACAAACTGCTACCCAGCTGTGCTTGTGTACCTGTAGAGATGGGGATCCCCGTATCCCACACAGCGTTCTGATAGCTCTGAACATGAAGAAGTTCTTCATATGCACCTGAGAGAGCCAGAGTGTCTCCCAAAGGCACCTTTACTTGTCATCTGGAGCATGAGCCTGGCTCACTGGGCTGATGCCACTTGGGAAGTTACATTTGACCCTTGAACAAGGCAGGGGTTAGGTGCCCATCCTCCACCCCCTGAACAGTCAAAAATCTGAATATCGCTTTTGACTCCCCCAAAACTTAACTAATAGTATACTGTGGACCAGAAGCCTCGTGGATAACAGAAACCGTCAATTAACACACATTTTGTATGTTATATGTATTATAACCTGTATTCTAGTAAACTGGAAAAAAACGAAATGTTATTAAGAAAATTATAAGGGAAAGAGAACATATTTACAGCACTGTCCTGTATTTATCAAAAGAAATCCATGTATAAGTGGACTCATGCAGCTCAACCTCTTGTTGCGCAAGGGCCAGCCATTGTCCTGGATTCTGCCAGCTAGCTCCACCTTATAGTCACCCTCAGGGACCAGAAATTGCACCAGCCCCAGAGGCAGCCTGCTCAGCCTGGAGCAAGTGACTCCTGCCACACCAGACACCGGGCCTCCATGTCTGATGACAGGTCCCTTAGAGATGGCCTGCTCCAGGGCTCCATCGTCTACAAGGAGGCCAAGTCTCTGGGAAAGGAAGTGACCAGCATCGAGCCATCTGGGATGGCGGGTCCCTCCTGTGATCCTGCGCCTTTGCTGTCCATGCAGCTCAGCAGGTGTCATCCCAGCTGTGCCGCAGGCGCCCTGTAGGTGAGGCAGATGAGATCTCAGGCTCTGCCTGTCCACCCACCAAGCATTATATTGGAGAATAAACCAGATGCCCCCTGACTGATTGGTTGATGCTCCTGAGAGTCTAAAGACTGAAATCCAACTCCAGCTCCTAACCTTGGGCTGCGTGTCCCTCAGCTCTTTCAGGCAAGTGCACAGTGAGGTTAACAATCAAAGGGCCACCATGGGTCAAGCTGCGAGAGGTGGAGAGCATGTGAGGGTGGGCAGCCC